CGGAGATTTTGCCCTCCGTTTTTCCGCAGGAAAGAACTGACACAGGAAAAGTCAACCCCTGCCTTCACTGCTGCGTCTCCGGGGGGAGGGGGCGGCGATTCGGATGGGTAAGAAAGAAAACGGTAACATCGGGTCGCGGTTGCGCAAGCCACCCTCCCCCCGCCATTGATCGGCTTTCGTTTCCCTCACAGGCGTCGTCGTCAAGTCAACCCGGAAGCTGAGAACTGCGTAGGAGTTTGCTCCTTGCTTTGTCTTCGATCTGGGAGCGCCTGAAGGATCTGAGATCACGTCTCGTTTCCTGTTTGGGGGACGGCGGTCTGCGCTTTCTTCTATTCCCCATGGCCGGTGCCCGGGCGCTGGGCGAAAGTGGCGGGGGTGGTGCAGCCGCCATGGACTATTCAGTACACGAGGCTTGGAATGAGGCCACCAACATTTACCTGCTGGCGGTGCTGGCCAGCTTGGCCCTCTTGGTGTACGCCCGCAGGTGGGAATCTCAACGGGAAGGAAGTGACTCCTATTTGTATATTGATTTAGAATACGTGAGCATCTCAGTTCGGTAGATCGGTATTATTTTCCTTCCGCTGTAGGTGCCGAGGCTGAGAGAAACCACACTCCCCTTTATGAACTGATTGTTGAATCCTGATTCAGAGATGCCGCTTCCTAATTCATCTTCGAGTGTTGGGATGTCTTTTCCTAGAGAGTCCCAGTTCTCAGCAGTGGAAAGTTGCGATATTGCCAAAGCTTCTGGCAATAATTGCTTACAAACTTTCAGGTTATATGGCTAGGCTTGCAAGTGCTGGTTGTTATTGCATCAGCAATTGGTTACCTCGGGATTTAGGTGCATGCTTCTGGGCTGACAGTTGCAAACTTTCTTGTCTGCTCTGGAAGTGCTACAAAACAGGAGCTTCTATGAATAGAATTTGATTTATTTATTTATTTGGTGATGGGGAGGGAGGATATCAGAGAGAAACGTGTTCTGTTTATAGACTATGCCCCTGCCTAATGTGAGAAAATTCCTGGTTCTGTCTCAGCACTTCACACCTCCCCATACACTAGTCAGCAACCCCTTCCTTTCAGTGCATTTTTATGAGGATGACTAAATGTTTATTGCTCATGACTAAGTCTGAGTCTAATTCAATGTAATAATTACAATTTCAATAATAATATAAAGAAAATGTTAGGCATCACTTGGCACAATTTACTGTCCAAATAAATGTTTATTATGAGTGTTGTGTTACTGTTTTCAACTCATTGTTGGATAGCTTTTGCTGCCTCAGAGTTCATAGAGTTTTGCAATTTCCCTTATTCTTTTTCAGTACTGTAGCTAATTATTACCTTTTCAATAAGTTAGGGAAAGTCTGGTTTAGCTAATATTGAAAACAAACTTAATACAAATAAAAAACACATTGTATTGCTATTGTGTTACAAAAATAAATGTCTTTGAGGGAAACAGTACATACCTTTATGAATAACAGTAACATAAAGGTTACCTGCTGGCGGTGCTGGCCAGCTTGGCCCTCTTGGTGTATGCCCACAGGTGGGAATAGAATGGTAAGGTGAAATTATAAGAAGTTATATATTGCTTTCAGCAGGGTTTTCAAAATATTTCATGCATCTTATCTTGCTGTAATCTAATAAAATCTAATTACTATTATTGATCCCTGAGTGTTAAGAGAAAGAATGAATTGTGCATGAATGACTTGTGACAATTTATGGGAGATCTGAGATTTGAGGTGGAGATTTCTTAGTTTACAAATTCATTTTCTGCAACACTTACTGCCTATTAGCTCTTCCTTTTGAGAAGCATCTATACTAGCTATCTGGGTACCAATCAAAGAAGCAGACACTGCACCTTCATGACCTTGCTGTAATTGCATAACCTTGCAGAACTGACGCTCAATTCAAAGGATCTGTATAAGTTGATATAGGTAATTTACACTGGCTTTCATGTCCTGAGTACAGCATCTAAACACTGAATCTATGCATTTCACATTTAGGTGAACGCACAGGCTCCTTCACAAGGCATAAATGTCTAGCAGTGGTCCTTGCATGAAGTATGGTATTAGAATGGAGCGAGCAAGAAGCCTTGCTACCATGTGACATTTAAACATTTATAGCCTAATTTCTGAAGTTATATCTTTTGGTGATTTTAAAGTTTGATTTCTTGGGAAATTGGCGATAATCTGTGTTATTTCTAATTGAAATCCAACTGTATTTCTATTTCTTTGCTGTAGAAATTAAGACAGGTTGCTAACTTCATTTACCAGTAAGGGAAACATATCTGCTTTTGTATTACTTACATTTTTCTTTTCCTTTTGGACTTCAGAAATAAGAGGAAGATTATGAGGATTTTTACATTACCTCCAACTATAGACATACCATCTGAACCAAACTTTTATGACAGTGTGAAAAAAGTCCGTCTTCGGCAGCAATTAGAGATGTATTCTATCGGTAAGTATAAATTATTGATTTTGATACTTTTAAGGTTTGGGTAAGCTATAGATCCCATTTTTTAAAAAAATGGAATTTGATGCTAAATATATATGATGAAATCCAAATTTGACTGTTGACATTAGCAGGGCTTGAAGTTACTAATACCCTGAACTTAAAAATATTTAATATGTCTCCAGGGTTGTGATTGTTATGCTCATCTACTTATAGAACTGTAATGTGTATGGATCATGCAGGTGATAAATCCTATTACGGACTGCAGGATTGTTAACGGGCTTGCCGTGCTAATGACCCTTGATTCATACGTGCATTTCTACATTTCATACTGGTCAGAAATGTATAATAGCACAGTTTATCCTTTACATGTTTGTCATGCTTCTCTTCCTTTGTATAGTCGGGGTAGTGTTCTTTCTTATTACATGGTCCTGAGAAAAAGTTGTTAAAATCACATTAGACAGAGAGATCTCTAGAAGATCTAAAGAAGATCTGTAGAACATAACTGAATTGGATACTATAAAATGCTGTAATGTCTAGTGCTCCAATTTAGGATCCTACTCATGTTCTTTTCTAGAATTTTCAATTTCTCCTTTATCTCTATCCCCAATAGTTAGCATTCTGTGCATGCTTAATCATTATTGGGCTCTCTTTGGGAATGTTTACTCCCTGAGACTTGTGGGTGGTGGTGGTGAAGTACTTGCAAAGCTGTTTATCTTTTGTGTCAGTTGTGCCATTTTGGCTACATAAGGAGTGAGACTCTGGGAATGAGATTGTTATTAGTGTATTCCTATTACAGCACAGAGTGAAATGATAGGTTTTCCAGACAAAGTTTTCTGTTCACTGTGATGGGAACAAAGGAGTGAGGTTTCTACAAAGCCAAGCCCTAATCAGTTAGTTGGATGTTTAACAGTGCCTCCATATAATGAAGGTCTAAAAATATTTTTTTAATATATACAGGGAGATTTAAGGATATAACCTGTTAATTTCACTTGATCAGTATGAGATAGTTTTGTCCATTTTCTGCCCACATTTAAGTATGTGAAAGCCGATTTTCAAACTCCAGTTTACAAAGTCAAAGCAGTTTGGAGTTTTTTTGTGTGTAAGTAGCTTTCCTTATTGGTTCTTAGAGTAGGTGTGCTTCCATTACATCTCTTTTCCCAAAACATAAAAAGACCCCATGTATATCCCTAGAGTCAATCCTGGTTAGTAGATTGAGGCCCCAGCTAAACAACATATTTCTTATTCTATAACTGCTGAACATGTTCTTAGGTTTACTGCTGCTACTATGATTTACAACAATTCAGTATCAGGCAAGAAAACTCTCATAGTGATTAAAAATGGACGTTTGGCAGTTGTGAGAAATGATTAATTTTGGTCCAAAATGTATTGTAAACTGCTAAACTTATACTTCAGTTTGTTACTTCAACCAACACAAGACTTTATCTTATAATAGATTTAGAGACCAATCCTATGTATGTTTACTTGGAGGTAAGCCCTACTGTGTGCAGTGTGGATTACTTTCTAGTAAGTACATTAGGATTGCCGCCTAATATTTAAATGCATTTATTTTTCTAGCAAGGAAATATGACCACCAGCAGCAACCACAGAAACAGACTGATAGTGTACAGCTTTTGGTGGAATGAAGTCTTGAATTTCTGAAGTCAAATGCTGAGGATGCCAGAGTATTGATGATAGTCACTTTCAATGCAACTTTAATGGTATATAGTATTTTTTAAAATGTGCAGTGATTACATGAAGTATGTCTTGATGATAGGCTTTATATTTATGTATTATTGTATAATGATTCTCTAAGATCTGAAAAATAAGGAAATCTATACTGGTCGTATTTCCTAATTTGTATCCCATATTCATTCCCAATAAAATTATGAGCTCAAAGGAGCACTGAGATGATCACTGCAGTTTCTGCAGTTGTTTCAAGTCTGCATTTCAAAAGGGACATAGGCACATGGCATTTGATGTGCCATAATGCTGCCAGTAATTCAACTACTTCTCTAAATGAACAGTGTCTCATATGGTAGGACTTTTAATAAACACTGAGCCCTCAATAAGGCAGATTTACTAAATTATAATGAGTAATTGAATATAGATAAAAAATTGAAAATTTAGGAAAAGAACTTCTGATCTGATACAAATTAGAGTAAGGAACAAACAATCCATTCTACTAGTTTGATGGGGACTTCATGAAACAAGAATACTTTTGCATTTGCCTACTTGTTTTTCTTTTTTTCTGTCTTCTGAATTCTGAAATCATAATTTCTTTCAGAAATCCTCATCTGATAAATGACTATAGTAGTCTGTAATACTTTATGAGGGGGACACAACTTGGCATTTTAGACTTAAAGGTGTAATGCCTAAAGAGGATTATATAAGTTGGAGTACAGATAACAGCACTATTTTTATCAGTGAAGACTAGACTTATAAAACATCCATCAGTAATGGATAATTATCAATTATTTGTTGATCTATCAAAAACATCAAGTAAAATTGACAGTAGATATATAAAATGACTAGATGCTTAAATATTTGAAGAATATTTGAATTGGGCATGTTTGAAAAGTTGAAGATTTGATTGTATTTTGAGATACATCCTTAAATATGGACAGTATTATTCTTCCAATAATAGACAACAAAAAAGCAAATTAATGTTGGCTATTGTTAAATGGCCAGTTCTGATACATTTGTCATACACCCATATATATCTCCTAATATGTGTTCTCAGTTTAAACTCTATTATGTCTCTGAATACAGCAAGAGTTCCTGAATTTTGCAACCGCTAATTCTGATTCTGAGATTCTTTGGGTGCAGCACTAAAGTAATTGTTCTAACTAAAGAGCTGTTGACCATTGGACAACAGAAAGAGTACAGTAACATAGCCTTTCATACTGGTTTGATCTGTACCATGTAATTATTTCTATGAGGATTTTTTCTGATATCCTTTTGTAGTGCAGTCCAGAGGGTTTAAATCTGAAGATAAGCTTCATACCTGAAATAGTGTAACCATAAAAGTTGCCTGTCAGACTACTAAGAAGTAATGCTCACATTTGTAGTTGCAAGAATTATCCCACACTTATACTAATGACTGTAATGTGTTAACTTTTTGAGCAGTATGAACAATGCTCATGCAGTAGAAATAGAAGACAAATGAGACAAACAAATTTCTCATAGTTGGCCTGATATGTATATCTTGGTAAGTTATGTGTTTGTTTTTCTAGTATAAGTGCAAACCATACTGGATTAAATGTTGGCTTTGAGTTATGTCAAAATACAGCCTGTATGTTGGAAGACAAGCTAAGTACATCTTTTTATGTTCTGTGTATGGTATATTTGGAAAGTAGAATCACTTTTCTTGTACTGTTAAATCTATTAAATACCACAATTAATGTTAGCTGTAAGTGTGCTCTTGTAAAATGTTTTGATGGCCCCTGTGTATAAAATATTTATTTTTTACAAAAGTAAAAAATATTTAAAATTGGATATGTGTGAAACTTATTTTTTCAGGACAGATATTGTTATGGAGAACTAATATGCATAACTTTATTTCATTACAAGGATTTTCTGTTGGAACATTCTGAGTTGATACATTAATAATTATTAGCTAGATATCTCATTCTGTGAAATATACATCCATTTCTTTACAAGTATTAAATAGTGACTTTTTTCTTTTACTGGACTTTCAAAAGTCTTTAGTTAGTGTACATACTTAATATCTGAAAAATTATGTTCAGTTTAACACTTTTATAACAAATGTGTTATATGCTTTCTCATATAACAAATTTGAAAAGCATCTGATGGACAATAGTTCAGTTCCCCCTGTAGGTACAGTATCCATTTCCACCATTTTTTCAGGAAAGAAATTCATATGAAGAATAAGAGAAGAAACAACTGGACTATTAAAGGAGCTGATGCTGGCAGTTCGATGAAAAGACTGCTGGGACAGTAAACCGTTAAGGCATGCTGTATTCTTGTGAGATGAAGGACAGTAGTTTTTGGCATGCCAAATAGCAACAACGTGGTCTTGGTTCTTTATGTTTAGTCTTTGGCTAAAAACTTGTTTTTTTACCAGTAGCTTGGGCCCTTTAATTCTAGAAGACAGCATTAAACCTATTGGAACAGAACTGGGGAAGAAAAATTCAAGCCCTATATTTTTCTCCAGGATTTGTTGCCATGTTGGGTTTTGAAAATGTCAAAAGAAAAATCCAGCACAGTATCTTGGATTCAGGTTTACTAAGGAATAAACATACAATTTTCAGTAATTTGTATGCAGGTTTGGCTAATAACAGCTTTGCCTCTGCCTCCTACCTTTCCCAAATCACATTGCTGAACTATTATAGAGCTTCTGTTAGTTCAACTTAATGCCCATTTCCTCAGTGCTAATGTCTGCCAGATATCAGAAGATACCTTTTGAACAAGCCATTTGTGGAACTGGTGAGGTTCAGATGGTGAACCATGTCCTCCTATTCTGTCCATTTTGATAAAAATGTTGATTACACCCTTTTTAATGTATTTTCCAGGCAGGGAGTCTGAACGTCTTATCTCCTATCAGACCAAAGGTGGTGTATCTGCAATAGTATAGCAACGTTTTGTGTTACTGCTTGCTTCACACATCACTTGCTGATGAGTACAATTTAAGGTGCCAAACTTTTGTTAAA